ACAAAGTTGCGGTCTCAAAGTGACTATTATTGTTAGAAAATTATTCCACATATGAGATTTAGAAAGAGAAGTTCTGTTTTCCAAAGAATAGGCATAATTGAATGTTTACTTCTTTTCTTGAGTTCTTGAGGAGTGGATTACTTAGCATGCATAGTCTGAAAGCCAAGTCCTTATTTTAAGAGGTAATTTAAACTGAATTGCACACGGGAGCCAGAATGCATCAATTTAACAGAGTTAGAGAATAATATGACAGTTTTGATTTTTGCTTTTGCTGAAGAGAGCAGTTCAGAAGGAAAATTCAGTAAGCTTTTTGGCCTTAGTTGGTTAACATCCCACCCACCTGACCTTGCACTTTCAAAAGCTCTTCTATATTAGACTAACACCTTAATATTTTTTTTTCCATGTAAAACCTTTGACTTCCAACATACATGAGTTTTATCTGAAGTAGGAAATAATTTTAAATGGCTTATTTTCAACACAGGTAAAGATGCTGTGGTACTCATGTAGAATATGCATTCCTAGTCTCTAGCGATAAGTAAATATTTATTTTGGAGAAACTGTTTTTCAAAGCCTTGTTCGTAAGCTGTCCATTAATCACATAGAGCTCAAATGTGGGTGTATGTCTTGGTTTCAGGAATTTCTGATGTTTTGTGTCATCACATGTTCATTATGTCTATAACTTTCTACACAGTTTAAAGCACTAATTTGTTCTGTAAAACATGATGTGTAGTCTGCGTATCCTTGAGAATCTGTTCACCCCTCTTCCGACCATTTTAGTTCCTGAATTTGCTCCAAAAACAGCCATGGTTTGGACTGAAAGCAGGAGATCAAATTCAGGTCTTTGATTCTGGAACTCCTTTCAGCTACAAGCACTTTGGATATATTCCTTTTTGAGCATTTTGTGAAGAACACCTTGTATGCAGGCTGTTGTATGCTTCTGACTTTGCCTCAATCCAAGATCAAAATTTAATTTCTTTCACTTCTCAGTAACTGCTGAGTATAACAGTTTGAAGCCCCAATTTAGGCTCTATTGAAAGAAAGATTTCTTTATTGGCAGTTTTACAGGAATAGCGAAAATTGTTAAATAAAAGCCAGCATAGATATAAAAATAAGTGTGACTGAAGTGTATAACAAAAAAGTTTTGTCAACCTGTTCCTATCACTACGTTGCAAAATATGTCTTTAAAATCTTGTACAGTGCAAAACGTCTTGCCTCACACTCCTTGAGAAGGTAAATGTTTCTGCTGGTGGGTATTTCTGAGGATTCAGTGGGGTCTAATCCATGAGCTTTGGCAGGTCATTATATATGCCTCCATGAGGAATTATGAAGCTTCCCATCCTGGCTGATCAAATTTAGCTTTCATTTAACAACATTTTTTGGCAAATGGCTTGGTTGGTCCACGTTTAAGTGTAAACTGATGCATCCGGTCTCGAAGCTTAAGAGCAGGACAGATAGATATGACTTCTCAAGGAAGATAAGGGCTCCTGAGCTCCCCTGTAAGACACAGCTGTGATGATGCAACCTGGAGTCAGATTGGAGTGTTTCAGCCCCCAGTGTGGGAAGCCAGTCAAACCGCTTTCTTCTTTCCTTTTCCATCTTTGGCTACCTGACACACAAAGCTTCCAGGAATTTTCTCCTAGTGGGTAGTCAAGATTTTCACGTGAGGCAGCAGGAGCCTGGCAGCGTGTACAAACCTTTGAGGGCCAGTTGAGGAACGCTCGTATGTCAGGAAAGCTTTATCCGTTGGGCTGTGTTATTTCAAGCAGTGATGCTATGATTGCCCCACCAGGTCCCTGGAATCTGCCACTTTGGCCAGGTCTCATCATCAGAACTTCAACCTGGGTTTTGCCATGTTTAAAGCTATTCTATGTTCATTCTTTCTGTCATGTTTACTCACATTCACTTAACTTCTTTACATAATACTTGCCAAAATTCAGTATATTTAAACATATGTATGTGCTGTGGAAAGCTTTGGGTTGCTCTCACTCAACAGAGTGGTTAGCTGAATGTTTAACTTTTAAGCCATCTGGTCATTTCCAGTCAGAAATAAGTTGAGGAGTGTGCTTTAGTCTTGTTGAGTTCCCCAAGGTAATTCTTCAATGCTTTAAGTCAATCATATCTTTAAACGCTGCATTGACTTAGAGCTTTACAAATAGGAAGTTGGAGAAGAGATCAGAGACAAAATAAATGAAAATGTGGAGTGCAGTGGAGATTTGCCAGTGCTGATTTGAGGAGGAATTCTAATTATCTGCATTTTCCTTTTTCTTTTCTTTTTTATTTTTTTCTCTGAGTAGAGAGAATTCTTCACTGATACAGCTTTGACTGCAGACACTTGAGAAGTTTGTGGTCTGAAGGCTAATAATTGTACAAGGTTCATCCAAAAGACCAGTTCTGCGACTATGTGTTTATTCATAGCTCTGATGCAATGCTCTGAGCTGCTGGGCAGATATCTGGGTGAATAATTTTGTCTGATACGTAGTGCAAAAAAGTCTGATGTGTCCCAATCCTTAAAAAAAAAAAAAAAAAGAAATTGCCAATACAAAATCAAAGCATAGCTATTCATTGCAGAATTAAAATGCATAGCAAATCAATTAGGGATAAATATTGTACATTATCCTCAAACTGTGAGCAGAGAGTGACAACGAAAACCATTCTTATATCAAAATAATAAAAAAGCACAAATCTTAAATGTAAAGCTCTGCCTATCAGAATATACACCCATTCTGCTGATCTTCCGTCTCTTTTTTTTTTTTCCTGTCCTATCTACCAGTAATCATCAGTAATATGGGGAAGGAGGATCATCATCCCCTATCATGTATACTTAAATGAGCATCAGTGAATTAATTAACACTGATGCTTAACCTGGCATCTTTAGGTTTCAAGTTTGGTGCTTCTGTTGAGATGAAGCAGTGGCTCTTCAGCACCCTCATGGATATTACTCCAGGTGGTCTATTTTACCTCTGGAGGAGAGGGTGGATTGTGTTAATCAGAGTACAGAAATATCCATATGTATATGAAAATCTGGCACTTTTGAAATGAATAGCAGTTTTGCTGCTGAAGCAGGAGTTGATGATCTAAGAAAGACAAGCTGGAAGTTTGAGGAAGCAACACCATTGCAATGAATTATCTTCCCTTCTTCATATAGCCATAAAAATATAATTACTTTTATGTACTGGAGTATGGAGAGAAATAGTTTTCCAGCTTGGAAAAGAAACAGTTTATAGTTTACACTTAAAGTCGAAGATCAAAATCTTTCCCAACCACAAATTTCAACACATTCTGTGTAGTCGCTATCCTTTCTCTAAAAGTAACTCAATCAACAATAGCAAATGGTGCAGTTCTTCACGTAAGGTAGCATGGATTGTAGGTTTCCAAGGTCATGTTAGCTCAAAGCCTGTTGGTTGGTCTAAGCATACTAGTTTGAGCAGCTCTGCCATGAGGTACCTTTTGAGTTCACACCCAGCACTCTTAGGACTTTCGCAATTCAGTTGATAAACTGCTTTCGAAGGTCAGAAAGGACAAAATCTTGCCTATGAGCACACGAGAAAGGACAAGACAAAATATCCATACCGCTCTGGGGAATACTGTTATAAAGTTGACCAAATTTCTGTGGCAGTGCAATATTGCTGAGATTGCAGGTGAGGCACGGATGGGTTCTGCTGGGGACTTAGTATTCCAGGTAAATAGGCAGGTTCAAATTAATTAAAAGAATCAAAGTGATGACTGCGTCTCTTTTCCGAAGCTTGTTATGCCTGCCTCTATTTAAACAGAACTCTGGACTGTTTCATCTCAGCGTTGAACGTGACAGCATACTTCAGGATGTCATCAGTGCCCAAATAACAGGTTCTGTCTCCTTTCTGATAGCAGAGACAGGGGTCAGAGAGCAGACTTCTGCCTCCAGCCCTCCTGCATGATGGTGGGGAAGCTGCTGAGTTCAAAGTTCCCAAAAAATTAGAGTTTAAATTAATACTGGGGGAGGCAGGTATGGCCTTGGTCTGGCTGGCTAGCTGTGAGACATACAGTGATATTTATATGAGTCGGGAGAACACTGCCAGTGCTGATGGTGAAAAGTCAAGTCTGTCACACGTGCATGCATCCTTTCAGCATGAGTGTGTTTATTTAGGCATTTAAGTTTTAAAAAGCTCTGAGCCTTTGCCAGAGCTGCTGGGCTCCCAGCTTATTTCAAAATCAGCAGGATGATGGCTAAACATGGAGTTGGTTCCTGGTGTTGAAAAAAATCCCTGTTTAATGACTCAGTGCACCTGCCTTGTAAATGAAGGAAGGTATGAATATTTACTTTCCTGCCAGAAATGTTGCATCATTAATACCTGTACAGCTCTTCTGTGTTAAATATTCTTGTCTTTTTATATTTAATACTACATAACAGAGACTTGTGTGTGTAGGAACAGTGGCTTTTCCCAGGGACAGCAGCCCAGGAGTTCCTTGGTTGGAGGTGTGATGCTAATGCAACAGTGCCTCACATCCTATTGCTCTGTTTCCTCCAGAGACCTCAAAAGTGGCAATTTTGATCCTCTCAAATGTTGGTAACGATGTTAATGCTGCAGAGGTTTGGCCTGGTGTTTCAGCCCGAGTAAAAGATTCTGAACAGGAAATTCATGTTTACATGTCTCATAAAACACAACTGAGGTGCAACACGTTTAGTTCTAAGGATAGTAAAGGGAAGCAGCGTATAGCATTATGCAGCATTTCTCAAAGTCTATTTGAAACTTTGGACACCAGTAGTCAAGGATGCAGCTTTATTTTATTGCCACTTTTGGTTCCTGGACTCAGTGATGTGCCCAGTCTTGCTGCTGTTTTGATGGAAGTAGGATCTGTCCTGTAGCCTTCAGATCTTTCATTTGGCAGTTACTTGTAGGCTTTTCTGTCTTGCCACTTCATCTCTTTTTTTTCTTGGTAAATAGGTGAACATTTTATCAGCAATTTTTCATGTTGTGAACTTAAGCTCTTGAATTTTTATCTTGTTTGTTTGTTTATTGCAGCTGGTGCTCAGGATAAAATTGGCTGGGCATTTGGCTTGGGTTTGGAGAGGCTGGCCATGATCCTGTATGATATCCCTGACATCCGACTGTTCTGGAGTGAAGATGAACGCTTCTTGAAGCAGTTTATTGTGCCTCACATTTCACAAAAAATAAAATTCCAGGTAAAATTATATATGTATTTATAACAATTTTCTGTCAGTAAGAAGTGTGTGTAGCCCTAGAGAATATCACAGAATTAAAATTCTGTGACATTAACAGATTAGGTTTTAAAGCAACAGCTTTACAGCTATCATGATTCTCTGATATACTGCAATAATATCCAGCATTTGATGACAGCATTTTTTTCAGTCAGGTAATGTGAGTTGCTGCTGATACCCAGTGAATATCTCTGTTCTCAGTAATACTTAAGCATATATTTAACTTTTAAATTTATCCAGAAAAGGAATTGATTTAGGCCTGTGTCTGGTTTGGTTATGTTCTTGAATTGTGTCCATAATTCTGTTTCATTATAAAAATACGTTTGATAGTGAGCGTTCAAACGTTGTAATATATTCCCAATTTTTCCCATGGTTTTCACACTACATTCATTGAAGTCAATGTGAGCTGCATTGTGAGTTGCACTGATGGATGAGAAGCTCAACATGAGCCGGCAGTGTGCGCTTGCAGCCCAGAAAGACAACCGTGTCCTGGGCTGCATCAAAAGAGGTGTGACCAGCAGGTCGAGGGAGGTGATCCTGCCCCTCTACTCCGCTCTTGTGAGACCCCACCTGGAGTACTGCATCCAGCTCTGGGGTCCTCAGTACAAGGAAGACCTGTCGGAGCGAGTCCAGAGGAGGGCCATGAAGCTGGTCAGAGGGCTGGAGCACCTCTCCTATGAGGACAGGCTGAGAGAGTTGGGATTGTTCAGCCTGGAGAAGAGAAAGCTCCGGGGAGACCTTATAGCAGCCTTCCAAGTACTTAAGCAGCAAAATGCTTTTTGCTGTTGCCTTTTGCCATTTTCCTTGCTTGTGAACAGCTTGATTATGGTTTTTAAGAATTGAAAATATAAAAGGGAAAATCATCAGTGATAGTGCTCAGATGATATTTGAGCAGTCTCCAAATCAGTAGCAGCATCCATTTTTTAATTCATGACAATTTTGGCACATCTCTGGTAGAGTCAAAAAGTTAAAATGGTGTTTGCATAGGTTTGGGGGTGGGAGGGGGGGTTAGCTGCTTTTGGGGGAGGTGTTTGGGGTTTTTTGGTGATACTGTCATTAGGGTATTTGGATTGTAGTTATCACTTACAGAAAGAAGACAACTTGAAGGTGGGTCTGCCTGTAGGTTTCCCTGATCTCCTACGGTATGTTTGTTGTTCTTTTCAATAAGTAGTGCTCAAGTCTCCTTCTTTTCAGTCCGTATCTTTCTGATTGACATTGCTCCTGAGAAGCATGGATTGTGGCTTTGTTTGTAGATTGCAATCTGATCTCTGATGGAACGAAGATCAGATTTCTTGCTTGCTTTAAAATTGTGGATCCAAGCCTCAAACTGATGTTAGCAGTAGATTTGGTTTTGGGGGAAAGGCCCAGACTGTCAGAATGATATGGTCTGATGTTGAAGGTGAGCCGAAGAGAGGGCTTGGTGACTGGCTTCTCTAAGTTGTGTATCATTTCATGTTCAGCTTCAGATACAGTCGGGTGTAGTAAACCAATTTGAAAATGACAGGCATACCTTACTGTGGACAGGCTCAGAGGAAAGGGCACAGTTTCTAAGAAGTTACAAGTGAAAGAAAATTTTTTTTCTTTTTCTAATTGGTGCTGTTTGGTAACCTTAGCTGAGCAGGAGTCAGTAGGAGCACATGGTTTTGCCCTGTTTTGCTGGGTAACTGTCTGTGTCATCAATAAGACAGTGGTGACAAGCTCTTTGTAGGTCTTTAAGCCCTTCTTGCTGAGCAGCATTGGTTTCAGCTGGCATTTGTTCAACTTGGAATAAGGAGAAAAGTTCTACAACCCGCAACTGATGTTGTAGAGAGTCGTGAAATTGAGGGTTGCTGGCTGAAATACATTTTGAAATAATAACATTAATCAGGAGATATGATGCAGTAGGTGGAGGACTTCAAGGAAGAGAAATTGTCAGCTGCTACTGTGCTCTGACTCGGACCAAACGGAAAGACCGGAGTAATATTACTGGGCCACTAACTACTGCTTTATCACATTAATGTGTTGGCAGTTGTTGTATCCCAACAAACAGGCCAATGAAAAGTATACAGATTGGGATAATGAGGGGTATGGGAGAGGGGCAACAGAGGAAGAAAAATGGATTATTTTGAGTCTTTTCTTTCTCTCTTCTAAAGAAAGAATATGGCCAATATTTTAGAAACAGATTTTTTCTTTGGTATCAAGCACTTCTTAGGGAATTGTTTTCTTTTTTTCCCTTGTCTACTTTTTTTCGTTCTTTTTTTTTTTTTCTTTCCCTTTTAACACATACATACACACACCCCTCTTGGATATCCATCTTCAGTTTTGGTAAAATAATTCTCCCTAACTCTTAGTTTATATTTTTCAACTCTGTCTCTGAATATAAGAGACTAGAGGCAAGCTTGGTTTTTTGTTTAAAAGGAAGTCTGTATCCAGTTTTCATCTGATATCATACACTGAGCTTTTTGAAGCTCAATACTATGCATACTGCTAGTACATACTGTCCTTGCCTTTTAAAGGATTAATGACCCTTCAAATGAGAATACTGTGAAATAATCTTTGGTGCTACCATAAGATCTTGGGTGATGGAAGTTAATAAGCCAGTTTTTCTTTCCTTCTGTTCCATGTTATTTTTCAGGTATGCTACAAAACCAAGTTAGCAGACCTTCTGCACCTGTCTACTTTCTAAAGAGTCATAATTAATCAATCACATGTTTTATTCATATAATATTTGAAAGAAAACTTTTAGCCTGTCTTCCAGTGATGATGATAATGCTGATGTAAGAAATCTCAATGGATATTTAAAAAGTGACACATTTTCTGCATGCAAGGCCATGAAGTGTTTTTCAGCCTGATTGAACTGAACCAAGACAGACCAGATGTTTTGAGAGCCTTTCACTACACAAATTGAATCCTGCAGCCTCAGAAGCCCTGGGTAAATGTCCATCCTTTATGTGCTTAACTGAAATAGACCTCTAACCTTTGAATACTCCCCCCATCCTTTCTTATAATCTGAATATTATCCACCAACATAAATATTTTTCTTTCTGTTCATTCAAGTGTTCTTGAAATACATAAGTCCACACTATATAGCAGTAATCTTTGTTAATAACCAGGCTAAATATGCTCTTGTTCAAAAATTTAATTTAATTGGAGCATTTTCTTGAGACTTAAAGTATATGTTTTGTGCCTTTTAACAGCCTGAATGTGTCAGACTTTTTCCTGTGTCATCAGTTCAATATACGCGTGCAGGCTTCAGTGGGTCAAAAAGCTGCTGGGGAAAGCTGACAGTGCTTGTACTGTTGTGGCCACTCAGCACAGCAGTGTTAGAGGTCAGATTTGCATGGATTTAGATTACCAAATGGCTCTGGCTATAATCTGACACAAGTCAGAGCAGTATGGGGGATCAGAGGCTGGTAACTTGACTTCAATCACTTGTGTAGGCCTTCTGCTCAGGCTGTGAAATGAAAGGCTGAGGACAGACAGGGCGGGAAAGACTAAGCACCTGCAAGGTGTAATGTAATAAAACAAACAGCTTGAATCTGATCTCTGTTATATCTCTGTTCATCAGGGCTCTGAGCATAGCTGCATGTAATCACTTTCTGGTTCATGCTGAGCCAGCATTCTTACAAAAAAAAAAAAAAAAGATGTGTCCGTGGGCTCACAACTCTCAAGAAAAGGTACAAAAATGAAATGACATTTAGGGAAGGAAGGCACTCACAGTTCAGATTGTGTGGTGCGCCCAGAGGTGTTGATTAAGACGAATGGGCTCTAGCGGCAGGACAGTTCCTGGAACCTCCATCATTTCGCTGCCACAGAGAGGAAGCAGCATGTCATGTCAATTGACTGCTGATGCATTCTCTCCTCACAAAGTCACTTTCATTTGATGCTTCTGGTGGCTGCTGCTGGTGTTGTTGTAAATAATTATTTATTTCGATTGCAGATGAGCCTTGTGGCCCGGACTGAGGTCAAGCAGAAGCATGTTCATGCTGTTCTAAAGGAAACACTGGTACAGAGGGAATCTGGATCACAGTCCTAGCTAAACTGCAGGCTCCCTCTGTGAGATTATGGGAGTTGCTTTCTTCTTCCTTTCCTCACTTCTGCAATATCTGTAATATTCTGCAATATCGTCAATAAGCCTAGCACCACCTACTTTTTACTACCCCCTTCCATCATCTCCAGGGCCTGCTCCTTCCTCATATCTGCTGGCACATGCAGTCTCTAAACTCAGTTCCTTCATAACAACCTGTTAGCTTCAATATTCAAAATAATAGACTTTCTAACCAGGATCATTCTGATGGCGCCAGGATAGACAAAGCTCCTAGAGCAGCTCTGCTGGGAGACCTGAAGAGCTAGTAGGCTTTGGCAGTGGAGCGAGGAGAGTTGACAAGCAGCTTGAATTGACACTGTTCACCTCCTGCACGGCTGTAGCCAAAATGGTCTATGTGGCCCTAACCTAGGAGACTGTCTCTGCTTTGAAAAGTGAGCAGTCAAGGTTAGCAGAGATGAGAAAAAGTCTGTCTTCAGAAAGATGTAGCTGTGTGGAAAGAAGTGATTCATTATACGAGAAAGGAAATCAAAGTGGACTCATCTTTCTCCAGTGCAAGATACCAAAGGCTGGGCCTCACTCACTGCCATTTGCCTTTGCTCAGCGTGCCATAGGATTTAAGCCCCTATTCTAATGACAAAGGATTTATCCAGTAGCCCAGTTTGCACTATTTGCTAAGTATGTGAGCCCTCTTGCTCACAGTCACACAGTGCAACTTTTTTTACCTTACTGTGCACTTTTCAATTTTCTGAGACAGTCCTCACCCTTGTGCATCTTTCCTATGCACATACCTGCTTGTTGCTGGGAGACACATAGCTTGTCCTGAAGCTTTAGAAGATGCTGAAAATAAAATGCACTGGCAGATCCAAGGGGAAGCTTTTGCAAATTAAACCTTCTTAGTCTATCCTTTATTCCATGCTTGAGAAGGAGAGCATCTAAT